TTCCAGTGATTGACATCATGAGCTTCGATCCACGCAATTGGAATATGCATCAAACAGGTCAGCGAGCCTGACCACCCGATCCCGTTAGTCGCCTCTTACGACAAGCATAGTCTCCTTTTACGGCAAGCATGGGTTGCTGAAGACCTAATCTATCCCGGATCTTCACGGGTTGCCTGTCCGTTACTCTCAATCTCTTCATACGTGGTGTATTTTATACCCGCCCCTCAAGCTTCCATGTAATTTTATAGGAGACCACCAAGACATACATAGCTATAGGCCTTTCCGTAAACGACCAGTTGCCCATTCGTCTGAGGCGCCGGAATTCGCCGTGCTGATTTGTGTCCCTTAGAGTTACCAGAATGCAATGATCGTCGGTTCCAAGATTAGGATTCTTGGTTTGACCAAAGGGTTAAAGGTTAACGACCTACACCCTTCTTCATCATTTGAGCTTATCTCATCCATTATGTTGGCACGCCGTGAAATAACTCACTCACTTATAATAAATGAGTGAGTGAGTGATTATGGTCTTACGCCACTTCAAGCAATAATCCAGCAGTATCACGGGGGGGCTGGGGGGTCAGAAATGGGCTTCACACATACCCGGGTCTTCGGCGTGACGAGCGAACGCTTTGACCACTAGGCTACACCACCGCCCTTATAATAAATGGTCAATCTCGAACGTTAATTATAGTTTGACTACGCTTCAAATACAAATTGCACAGTGTGGTTACAAAGGTCTATCCATATTCCACGAAACAGTTGTCATGTCCGTACAATGTCGGAATCCAATAAAAACTGATATAGTTTCAAATTACTCGTAGATATTCCGGCCATACCAGTATAATTGATTAAGAAGTGGATGGTACCTGTCCTCTGATTATCTTTACAAGTTCTTTCATTAAATATTTCCCTGGGATCCCGACAATCAGCGCTGTACATTAAATTTGACTTGTCCGCGAGGAAGCAGCTAACGAGGGGCAATCTGTGTGCCTTCACACTATCTGTCATTGATTCTACCGGTGTGGTCGGGCGTACGGCTGCCCGTAAAGTATGCGATCAACACACAAACAGGCCGCTTCCTACAAACATTCCAGCGCTACGGCAGGCGTCTGAAGACACGCATGGTGTTCCGAGCACGCCATCTTGTTTGTTTACATCATAAGACTAGCCTCGTAGAAAGCAACGTAAATTGATAAGCTGATGTCCGTAACTCAGTCATTAGGATACGTTGTTTTGTTTGAAAACATGACGTACTCTGATATCTAACGGTACATCTGCACGTCGGCTAACTTGCATTTTCTCTCTGTGGTTGCCGCGAACAGCTGTATAGTGCGGCGTTCAACTACATTCACTCGCTCTCCAAGCTCATGTGTAACAATTTACCTTAACCCGAAGCGTACGAACTTCGACATGATAATATGTTATGAACCGTTGGCCATCTCATCTCTAAAAATTATATATTAATTATATTTTTTAATTATTCGTGAAATAGCACATGGCAAAGTAGACACGATTTCTGGATAACAGCTTCATTAATACTGTAAAGGCGACGTTTCGGTATAGATCCTCACACCGTTGTCAAGCAAGACTGTTGTCTTGCAGACCGTTGAACTGTGTCATGTTTTGACGGTCCCACTTACAGTTGTGATACAGTTTGGCGACCACCCATCCTTCGCTGTGTCACTTTTTCATGACCCGTCCCTAACTGACAATAACAGCAGCATTTGTGCCATATCACAAACTCATCACATGCGTCTTATCCGGCCTCTCCGCCGAAGACTCGAAGAAGATTTATAAAGTGTGATGTTTGGAGCTTCCTGTCTAAGCCTCATGGGACACACCTCCCGTTGCGAGATCAGCCAAGCGTCAAATTAAGACATCCCACCCAGCAAATGCATGTAGCTTGTCATTAATCTCTGTCAGGACGGGTCTTACTGAGCCTTCAGAGACAAACTACTGGTAACTCTTTCAAATGCTCCCGTGAAACATTATACGAGGGGCTAATCCTTTTACAGAGAAATCGTTCATGTAAGATATGCAGAGATTAGGCATGGTCCGTGGGCACGGAATGGCTATGTGTTGGGTTGAGGAGGGTAGCTGTGCCTCGCGGTCGAGACGTCGTTAACCATGCCATCTTACACCTTGACAAATCTGGAGCCGATATATAACACGGCTACTGTACTCGGTGAAGGAGACAAACAGGTTCGATCTAATATATGTTGAAATGAACGAAAACTGTGACATGCTCTGTCGACTAATATTTTGGATGTGATGTTAAAAGCTTATAACTGGTGTAAAATCATTTTGCATGCTAACATACAGTAAATTATAACGGACTCGCTTATAACGAACAGACGGATATAAGGAACTGTTTTTGGTTCTTGCCATATGCTGAATATATGCTTATAACGAACTACGGTTTAAACGAACAAAACTTAGTCGTCCCTTTGAGTTCGTTATAACCGTAGTTCACTGTAGTTAGAGATTTCGTATTTTTAGAAGTGCGTTTCATTGCGACGTTTTACAGGAATCCCTCATGGTATTGTTTTCGTTATTCCGAATTAATAAGAGACTTGAGTGTTCCTAAAAACGCAAGGGTTCCTTAATGCAGAAATATATTTAGATAACCTTACACAGAAATATATTTCTGGGACTCATGTTAGCCTTTGTTGTACTGCTCCAAATGCTTTATAATAAATAATTTGAAAACAATATTCCTACATGTTTATTCCTTTAAAACTGATGTAAAATAATAATTACTTGTTTGGCTCGAAGCATTAAATAAAGTAAACTACAAATGTATATCATTTATACTGATCATTTGCTTCTTATAGTATCCATACTGGGTATAGACGGCTAGAAAATGGTTGGGAAACATTCGGCTCTTCACAGCCCTATATGTCACCTCGGCCTGGATTGTGAGGAATCCATATTTGAACTGGATTCACTAGTTTCGCTACTTCTCGTGACTATCACGTTTTCCAAAATATTGCCAACGTCGTGACCCTCCTGTAGATGATGCTTGATATCAAAGTATATACCTAATTTCTGTTTACCATACAACAAAGCTATATACTTCATTTCTGACGAAAGAAATGTCGTGCAAAAGTAATATGGGTTTAAAGTCAAATGAAATAAGAGAAAAGTGATCTCGACTAAATAAAATGCAATACGAACACAACGTAGCTCATACTGAAGAAGGGGCGGTCGGGTATACAGTGGTTAACGCGTTCGCTCGTCACGCCGGAGACCTGGGTTCGATTCCCGACATGGGTACAATGTACGAAGGCCATTTCTGGTGTCCCCCGCCGTGGTATTGCTGGAATATTGCTAATAGCGGCGTAAATTCATACTCACTCACGCACTCACTCATACTGAAGAAGGTCAATAAAATGGTACGGATTGTAAATGATTTAACAAAAAAAAAATAAAAAATTTAAATACGATCATCGTCATAATGAAATTTTCTTTCGCAAATCCTTTCGAAAATGTGAACCCCAAACTGCTTTGTCATGCGTTAATGTATAAATGTGATACGGTTTAACGTGAGAGGACTTGTTAAGCACTCTGCGATCACCGTCGACATCACAGCCCGGGCGTGATGTCACGCTGTATTAGTTTAGAGAAATCTTATACATCCTGCTTCGGAACTTTATATTAATGAAATGCAATTGCATTCTGCCAAGGCGTGTATGTGGGTGATCTCACGCTTGTCAAGGAAACGTACCCTAAATCCATTATACCCTGCACCAAATAACCTACGGGGTCCATTGGATGAGGGTTTTCAAGACACACCGGAGTTATGCTAGCACAGCGTACCTATTTTGGTGGTTGAAGACTCTTTCTCGCAGTATAAAGATATTTGTCTTTGAACTAACATGACATTTTACAGCCTATCTTCTAAATTTCATATATACAGCTTGTTTACCCCAGATATAGTATAGACAGACGTGGAAAGGAGTCCATTCCTTATATAGTAATCGTCGTGTGAAGCTTCAGCATCAATGTTAATAATAATAATAATAATAATAATAATAATAATAATAATAATAATAATAATTATAATAGTGACCATGAGAAGCAATCAAAAACCGAAATATGTCAGGACTAAAGAAGTGGTTATGGATGGTTGTCGGTTGTGTAGTTCAAGAACAATGTCATTTACTTCGCGGAATTTAGCATTTGTTTTCTTTCCACTGCGAAACAATACCATTTCATACAAAGCCTGCTCGTATTGTTTCGTAAATATATTTTTGTTATAACCTTCTTATACAAATGCGAATCTTTTATATAAATCATATAATGCCACTTGGGGCTCCGGAAATAACATGCCCCTGCAAAGTCCGAACGTGAAATAGGTGACGGTTCAGGGCGTTTATGACTTTCTTTTCTGATTTTCTTTACGTTAATCTTTATCACCAAGGCTGATATTGAAAATTTTATCGTGATGTGTACATTATACAAAGAATCACCACCTAAGTAAAATATTTAATATGTGAAATATGAGCTTGCCTTTCCACCAAACCAACCGTCATTTATTCAATATCATGAACTTCAATTAAAACCAATTTACGCCCAATGGAGCGGACCTGTTTCGATTATTCTCTGGCCTTGACGGATTACATTACTTTGTCCCAATGAAGATCCGGGGTAGAATAGGTCTTCAGCAACCCATGCTTGCCGTGAAAGGCGACTATGCTTGTAAGAGGCGACTAACGGGATCGGGTGGTCAGGCTCGCTGACTTTGTTGATGCATGTCATCGATCCCAATTGCGCGGAACGATGTTCATGATGTAAATCACTGGATTGTCTGGTCCAGCCTCGATTGTTTACAGACCGCCGTCATATAGCTGGAATATTGCTGAGTGCGGCGTAAAACAACAAACCAAACCAAACCAAAACATTTCTTAGTGAGTGGCGTGATAGTGAGATATATTTATTATTCATATTGACCCCAAGTACATCAGCAATGCTCCAATGACGTGTTATCTACTCCGCAGGCTCCTACTCCCTGGCTGTCAGTGACGTCACGAACAAGACAGCTACGTTGACATGGAACGACTTCAACCCCGACGACTTGGAGTACAAGCTTCTAATGACCTCAGGCTCCTACAAGCCCAATCTAACAGACTGGCGACAATACTGGGTGAGAATCGCAGATGCACCTGTCGGGGATATGGCGGGTACATGCTTCGAGTGTCCATTGTCTTATCGTTCGATGGATCTACAGCTGTATTTGTATTGGTGATCTCTTTTGTTTGTTTGTCACTCAGCAATATTCCAGCTAAATGGCGATGTGACGGCGGTTTGTAAATAATCGAATATGGACCAGACTATCAAGTGATTGACATCATGAGCATCGATCTACGTAATTGGGATACGATGAAATGCATTAACCAAGTCAGCGAGTCTGACCACCCGATCCCGTTAGTTGCCTCTTGGGACAAGCATGGGTTGCTGACGACCTCTTCTTACCTGGATCTTCAGGGGTTCGATCATAAGAACAGCTCATAGGTTTCACGTGTAACTCAGAAGGCAGGGTAGCCAAGCTCTAAGGAGGCGGAAGTCGCTGTGCAGATACGCCAACGTCCGCTAATCGCGGGTTCGAATCCCAGATGCGTATCTAGAATGATCCTTGGTCCGCCTGCACATACGCCTATCTACGAGAAGCGGCATTTTGGGGGCTTTCACCTCAAATTAAAGTGAGTGAGTGAGTTGGTTTAACGCCGCTTTTCTCAGATCAAACTAACACGCTTGTCTCATGTTTTGGATGTGTATATACATATCATGTTTCCAGATCGGGTCGAGTCCACGGTACGAACTGACCACTCTGGTCCCTGGGACGCAGTACTTCATGCGTATTGGTGTGGGGATCGACCCGCTGACCAACATCACGGAGGTCATCGTGTTCCAGACTCGGCGTATGTATACTTACCATACACTTTCACAACAGTTATAACAGATACACACACGAGGTATATAGTTTAAATAAATGAAATCCGTCATTACATCTTAAGTCTGTTGTTTAGTACTATTAAGGGCTTGAATCCACTAACGTTGTTCTAGAACGGAGTTGGTGTTCTATCAATGCTCTAGCAATGCGGACTTAACACATTATATTTCCATGAAGAGAATCTAACATCGTCTTCGGCGATATGAGCGAACGATGTTACCATCAGGCCTCTTTGCCGGCTCCAGAAATTGTAAGTTTGTGAAATTATGGGAGTTACGATCACCTTGGCGGTACGATCGCTTTGCGGAAACCGGACCCGACCTTAATAAACATTATCTGTATTTCTGAGAGCGGTTAAGATATAGAGGATTCATCACGAGTGTTTTTTAATATGGGAAATATCAACCGAGTCTTAGTTAATCGGTATTTGCCGAGCCTTTGGCGAGGCAAATACCGATTAACGGGACGAGGTTGATATTTCCCATATTAAAAAACACGAGTGATGAATTCTATTTATCATTTTCACATTTTTGCTTCCAAATTAAGGAATAATTGCATTAAACATTAACATCAGCAACTTGTCGAAATCTTACGTATAGATCGTGCGTAGTGATACATGTTTTCCATAGCCATGTAAACCAAAATAAACAATTCGCTGAGAAAAAAAGTTCCTCGGATTATTTTAAACAAAATACTTGAACAGACTTTTTCAGAATAATTGAAACTTTAATAACGGTAACAACAACGATTCGGTGTAATCTGATTATATCTCTGGTGTAACTTCACTTATAATATATAGTTTCAAATCAAACCGCTCGCTCTTCCGGTTATCTAATTTGCATATCTAATTTGCATACTTATGTCATTGGGGTATGACATACATGTTTTTATGTCATAAGCTTATGTCATGGATAAATGCTTAAGTTAAATGATAAATATATATATATATATATATATATATATATATATCTTTATATGGATACACACCACTGCGCCGGGGTGTCTTGTGCACTCACATCATAATGTATTCATGCTGTCGCCTAGGACTACGTTTTACTTCTCCCTCTATTGTCACTATTACATCAAAGGCATTATGACGCCACAAATACTACTGTTATGCGTCGCTTAGGACTACAATGTAAGTTAAAGTTTTCATTACATCCGAAGAGCCGTAATAATATATATACCGGAATATATCAAAATATTTTCTATGTCTTTATAAAAATCTCCTTTACTTCCAGCGGTTGATTTCTGTGTTAATAACGGCGTTCACTATGAAGTAGGCCGGACGTTCAGCCACGACTGTGAGGACAACTGCACATGCTTACCCAACGGGCATTTCGACTGCACCCCCATCTGTGAGGAGCCCACACTGCCCGACCCCACACGGTGCCGGCTGGTGGAGGCGGAGGAGGAGGGGTCTTGCTGCAGTGTGACGGTGGTGTGTGCACCAGTGATGGGTGAGGATGACGTTTTGTCGCCTTCAGACAAATGACGCTGTATTTGTGATCGTGGCTTGGTGTATAAATTGTTATATCATGTCCGAATGTTGTTTGTTGTGTAACGCCGCACTCAGCAATATTCCAGCTGTATGACAGCGGTCTGTATAAAATCAAGTATGTGCCAGATTATCCAGTTATTAACATAATTATTTCGATCTACGCAATTTGGATACGATGACGTGCATCAACCAAGTCAGCGAGGCTGACCACCCGATCCCGGGATGGGGGTGGAGATAGGGGTGGGCGTGAGGACTTTATAAATAAATATTGTCTCTGAAATATCTTGAAAGATAATTATTCTTCAGACCTTTAAATAAAGTATCTAGTGAAAGCTGAAAAATATCTTATCTCCATATAAAATTATAATCAAGCTCCAATCACACATTTCGTAACGTTGCTTTGTCGTTTTGGAAAAAAAGAAGAAAACTTATTGTTATGAAAGTACGTGTGAGGTTACAAAAATAAATATCCAGGATTTTGCCTTCAGCGGATTGTGTGTATAACGGCACCGGAAGAAACTATGAACACGGGGATACATTCGAGGCAGGATGTTTAGAATGCACGTGCGATAACGGTACAGTTCTGTGTGATTACCCCGAGTCTTGTGAGAGACCGGAGGGAGCGTCCTGTCCCGACCCCCAGGAGATCCCAGTGGAAGGGCAGTGCTGTCCCCAGTGGAGATGCGGTATGTGACGTGCGGTTCTGGGTTCTATTCTATATAGTGTTACATACTGAGTTATAGTGTAAACATGAAAACATGAACGAACCTTTCCTCCTCTGCTGTTTTCATGGAATCAAGCAAACTAGACTTGGTTAGTTTGATCTAAACTTGCCTAGGCTTTTTAGTAAAAAACAATACCTAAAAAATATAAATTCCACAGTCAAGGCGCAGGACTATAACATAGTTTGCTTTAATGTAACATTCTGAGTTAAAGTGTAACATATTGTGCTGTAATGTAACATACTGAGTTATAGTGTAACATATTGTGCTTTAATGTAACATACTGAGTTAAAGTGTAACATATTGTGCTTTGATGTAACATACTGAGTTATAATGTGACATATTGTGCTTTAATGTAACATACTGAGTTATAGTGTGACATCATGTGCCGTAGGGCCAATCAACCGGGTATATAAGTTATATTTGAACCTCAGTTCAACAGCTACTGCTTCATATCAAGTCTTATATATAGTTACAGTCGTTAGACACCGTATTTCCTCTAATAAACGCCAGGCCTCGATTAAACGCCGGTTACCTTTTATGCACGGAATCCTCCCCATTATTACCATGGTAAAGAGTGTCTGAGGGAATGATACGCCCAGGGTTTAATCCAGGAAATACGACAAGAAGCGTTGTGACCTAGCAATGCCACCCACACCGTTCTGTTTGGAATGTTCAGGCAACTACACCTGCGAGGATGGCGGCGAGGTCTACAGCAACGGCGCGATGTGGAGGAGGGAGAGCACGTGCCAAACCTGTAACTGCGAGGAGGGTCATGTCGCGTGCCACGACCTGTGTGAAGAGCCGACCAGGCCGGAGAACTGCCCCAGGCCACATCTAACCAAACCCCCGGGCAGCTGCTGTGACGTCATTGAGTGCTTACCCCCAGGTAAGATAAGAATAAGTGAGATGTCAAGGTCAGGAAATACTGGCATGAACATCGTAGAGAGAAGTCAGCTGCTGCTGAAAGGCAGTTCAAAGTTTATGATTTGGAGTAAAATTTCTTAAATTTGCGTCATAACTGCGTACAGTTTGAGGTGAGGTGTGAGGTGAAATAGTCCTGTCCTGTCCAAGATTATTTCTGTGGCGACGTTTGTGAGGCTATCTGTACTAGCCGGACGTAAGCCTGTTTTATAGACTAACACTAACGGCAAATGCCATAAACGTCTTTTGGTGCGATGCGGCCAGGGAATCGAACCACAGTCTACCGCTCTCGGACAGACGTTATCATCCCAGCGTAAGATAAGCATGCTAAAGTGTCTGAGTGAGTGAGGAGGGGGGAGAGTGGGGGAGCGAGCACCTTTGAATATTAATTATGTCAACTTAATTTGTGGAGAAAAAGGACGCAGTGAACTTGCTAGTGACTGTCCAAGAATAACAGTTGTGGAGATCAGTATCAGTAGCAGCATCCGGGCAGCCAAGGGGATAATTTAATTTAGGCTCAGAGTGAGGCTGCCAGTCCCCTTTTCTGAAGTATATTAAGATGGTATGCGGGACTCGGCAGTGCGGTACACGGGACGCAAATAGAATCGAATTGGTACGCAGATTTAACCTTTCATATATTAATAATGGTGAATGTAAAACATTCCTTTATTACTCATATATGTTTTTTTATATTTTTTTCAATAATTTAATTTGAAATCGCACCCTTTTTCTATTCTTTTGGGATTTGCGTTAAGTAGTATTCGGGATTCAGGGACTCAGAGTGAAAAAATAGATGGTATTTGGGATTCAGGTCATGGAGGTTTGGCTTCCTCCTGAGTGAGTGAGTGAGTCGGTTCTGCATCGTTGAACAGTATATCATGGCTTAATTTGTGAAGAAAGGCCAAGAGACGCTGTCTGGGACACGGGTCTGACAGGCCAAGGGCAGTAATTGTGGCCATCATCATCTGCATCGGGCCAACAAGGGAGATAATTTGGTTTAATACTACTGGTTTTTAAAATGACAGATTTTACGTTTTACAATAAAAAGTGTCTTGAAGAAGTGCAGAAGTAGATATCGTGATGAATGTTGTGTGTTAATGAAATCAAAAGCAGGAACATTCAAATAAGGCACATTTGACATGTTGAAAGGCTTCGTCATTGAAAGTAAGGTGTAAGGGACTACTTCAGGATTAGAAATATAATTTACATTGTCATTGTCATTCTTATAACCTTCAGGTTATTACAAATGAAAGTTTGATTATTATTTCATAACGAACACGGAGAGCGGTGTGGAGATTATTTCTAACAATGGCATTGTTAATACAGTTATTAATTCTATAGGACATTCCAACATGCAAAGTTACAATTGACACGGAGACTTGATAAAGTGATAAATAAATGTATAGTCGCCATGCTTATTAGTAAGCTTTTAATTGATTTTTTACGCATCTCAGAATAGCGCTTCGTCTGCAAGTATAACAATTAAGCTGACACGCCGCGATATAACTGGAATACTGTTAAAAGCAGCGTTAAACCCAACTCACTCACTTATATCGTCGCCTCAAAACCATTTTTGGTAAAATTCAAGTTATGGGTTATTAAATTACAGCACTTCAAAACTTCAACAGCCAATATCTCAATACTACAGTAGTGGGAGTAACACCACTCTGGTTTTCAGGCGACGATATGTTATATACCATTGCGTTATTGGGAAGTCCTGCTATGGCCATGTCATGCTGTTCCAGAGGGTGAGTGCTACTACGAGAGAGAGGCTTACACACAGGGCAGTTACCTCACCAACGCCAAGTGTGAGCTGTGTGTGTGCACCGACAACAGCACCGTCCTCTGCACCCCCAAGCAGTGCCGCACTGTGGTGGTCCCTCCCCCCAACATCTTCTGCCCCCACCCACACATCCGCAAAGATGGCTGCTGCGATACGCTGTGGTGTGAGAACCCGGATCAAGGTAAGGTGTTTGTGACGTCAGAACACACAGTGGTACCTCAGCATTGTCGTGAATAATTCTCTCGTCAGCACCAATAGAGGTACATCGAAATACTTTAGTTAATCCTTAATTTACATAATTTAAAAAAAGTTCATCTATTGTATATTTTTTTAGTTAATCATGGTCGTGTTTAATTGTTTGTTTGTTTGTTTGTTGTTTTCCGCGCACTCTGTATGACGGCGGTCTGTAAATAATAGTGTCTAGGCCAGACAATCCAGTGATTGGCACCATGAACATCGATCTTCGAATTGCATCAACCAAGTGTTGATGACCAACGATCCCATTAGTCGCCTCTTACGACAAGAATGGTTTGCTAAAGATCAAATCTACCCGCAACTTCACAGGTTACTAAGGTCGTCAATTACCCCTCAAAAACTTCTTTTATATCCACCCGACATGTCGAAAACGTTGCAATATTAAATATTTATCTGGAATGTAGCGTGATTACCACTAATACAGTTATAACGCGGCTCAATGTAAAGGGCCATTTGTGGTGCCCCCTGCCGTGATATTGCTGGAATATTGCTAAAAGCGGCGTTAAAAATACTCACTCACTCACTCACTCAATGTAAAGGGCAATTTCGAGGCGATCAACGGTCGATAGTGAAGGAGTTGGATTTTACGGCACAAATGGGCGTCACACGTTGTACCCCGTGGGGGAGAGAACCCGGGCATTCGGTGATTGTACCACTAGGCTACCGAACATTCCAGTGGTCGATAGTGTAATCATGGGACATGTAGGGGTAATATGAAATCAGCCAGCGCCCACTTGCACAAAGCGATCTTAGCGCAATGTTGACCGTAACTCCCATAACTTACGATAGTCGTATCCCTGTGTGCCTGTGGACCCGGTTCCTTTTAATGTTCAGTCATCCATACACAGATGCAGAAACCGTTTCAGAAGTATGCCAATCTTTTTGATACCAGTACTCAAAACAAGTAAATTATCTGTTAAAGAACACCCATAATCGGAAGGCTGTGTGTTGCAACCCCCCACCCCCAACCGTAACAGATTAACAATAATCATATGAAAAAGGGTGTACTTTAACTTCTTTTGAGTACTATATAAAAACACTAAATCATTTGGTGACTTGTTTTCAACATCAATAATAATTATTTGTCTTTTCCTCCCATTGAGGGGCGGACGAGGAGCCTATTGGTTAAAGCGTTAGCTCGTCACGCCGAAGACCCGGGTTCGATTCCCGTCATGGGTTCAATGTGTGAAACCCATTTCTGGTGTCCCCCGCCGTGATATTGCTGGAATATTTCTCTTGTGTATTAAACTATCCTCTGTTCATGTTTCAGACCTCGTCAGTGTCATCAAGAATTTGTTTGGGACATCGTACAGTCCTCATTCGGTGACCTTGAGTTTTATGGAAGACGAAGCCGTTGAGGGGGCCGATGAAGTTGAAAGTGAGGGGTACACGCGCACCAAATACCAGCTCCAGTACTCCAGTGACGACAACGCCACGAGCAACGACACCAGCACGTGGCAGAGGAGAACCTTTGACCCCCGGCGCGTGCACAGCGAGGATGAACCGGTACCCTCCCCGACTCACTTGCTGCAGACGACGGGCGCCATTCGCGTCGGGCAGCGGGTGTACGTGACGGTCTCGGGGATGGAGGCAAACACCACCTACTATCTCAAAGTTCTGGTCATCAATTCCGGTTTACATGACGACAGCGTAGGTGTGACGTCACAACCTCCCCAGTATGCAGGCGCCCTGGCTGTTCGAACGCTTGCAGAAGGTAAATTATTATTTTGTGAAAAAAACATCTTTAGTCATACTGTGTTCAATATACCACGGGGCGATTTGGTAGCCTAGCGGTTAAAGTGTTAGCTCGTCACGCCGAAGACCTGTGTTCGATTCCGCACGTGTATGAAATTCATTTCTGGTGTCCCTCGCCGTGGTATTGCTTGAATATTTGCTAAGAGCGCCTTGAGACGATATTCACTCACTCAATATACCATGAAAAAAATGATTATAACAATGCAATTTTTTAACATTATTTATTTTTACATTGGACGACAGATGCATCGTCCCCATGCCCCACAACATGCCACAGCGAGGAGGTTCTCATGGTACGGTCCAAGTCCTGTCCCAAACCAGTGCTGACTCGGTCACGTGGTGACTGCTGCCCCATCTGGCGGTGCTACCCAGAAGGTAGACAACTCATGTTAGAGAAGAATTAATTGTGTATGAGATCCGTGTGTTTTATTAGATTTGAACGCCTTCAGGCACATATCCGCATATCTCTCAGATGTAACACGTCGGACACATTTCCGTATACATGTCACGCTCTATATGTGACTTGATTCTAAGGGCAAAGTCGAAAATAGATTGCATCTTCCGAAGTAGGCTGAACTAGGTTGGATTTCCAGGCTCGATCGTAGCGCCACCAGTGGCTATTACGAGTGATGCCCCTTATGTGTCCATCCTATTGACCAATCAGAATCCACCTCTCATATCACTTGTATTTGCGGCGCCCAGTAAAAAATCGACAATCAAGATCTATATTGTAATAAAACAGGCTTTACCTCGCTAAGTGCATCCAATCACTTGATCAACTTGATTACAAACATAAAAAAACATGCAAAATATCTGTCGACCTCCAGTTGGCGGTACACATGCTTTACAAATCCTGCAGTCGACCAAAATTTGCACGTTAAAATCCATTCGTTGTCTACGAACCGGATGTCTAGTTCGTCACGCGTCTTTGATTGGACAATGCAGAGACTCGCTAATCCAGCCAAAATGTAACTACGGAATTTCAGCCTGGTTCGGCAAGGGTGGAAACTGGACTTTTATTGTCAGTTAACCCCCTTGCCTCGGGAAGATGAATAGAATGCAAATAAAGAGTACTTGTAAATTCATTTAAATGGCTTACTTATTGTTGGCAATACACTGACCATTTGTATTTGCTATAAACTCATATGGTACATTTTAAGTCAACATAATTCAGACCTTCACTGACAGAAATGAAAGATAAATACCTCGTGGCCATTGATATCCGTTTTGATTGCCCATGGGCGGATACAGAGGGGTGGGGTGGTGTGTGTGTGTGTGTGTGCGTGTTTTTTTTGTGTTTTTTTCGAAAAAAATCATTATTTCTGTATTAATTACCACCAAAGACAATAAATAGATCTTAATTGTGCATCCCCCCCCCCCCCCCCCCCCCCTTTTAAAAAAAACTGTATCCGCCCATGTTGCCTATCTCGCGAAAGAGAACTGTATTTGTAAACACAGGCAAAAACACAGGCAAAACAATTGAAACGCGAGGACATTTTCTCATTCTTACATTTCCTTTTATAGAGGGGGGCTGCCATTACAAGAACCTGATCCTGAGCAATGGCGAGCAGATTAGGGAGAACTGTGAAAGAAAGTGTCTTTGTGAGGAAGGGAATGTGACGTGCAGCCCGCTTTGTGAAGAGACCGGAAGTACCCCACGACCCGGATGTAGACTTGAGCGCCTGGCTGACCACTGCTGCCCGTGTGGATGTGCTCACCCAGTAAGTACACTTGCACTGACAAAAGGTTCAGGGATTGGCGGTTGGCGTGCCGCTCGCATCACAGACAACCTGGTTTGCATTCCAGTGATAGCCATGAAGCCTATTCTTGGTGTCCCCTGCTGTTAATTGATGTCATGATAATGCTTTAAGTCACTAATTCGGTGTATGTTGTGATGGAAAACCCGTGGTTAGCGTGGATGCTGGGTCGCGCAGAAGAACGGGGTTCGAATCCTCGAAAACGTACATACGTTTTCCCGCCGTGTTATATGTTGTTGCCTCTGTGGAATAATTCCTTTTGATACATTTACATCTTATTCCTTAAACCAAGACGCTCTGTTACAAATGCAGTGATTTCTTTGTGTAGGACATTAATGATGATATCAAGTATCTTTGCGTATTGCAGTGTCAATGATATCTGTACTAAAGGCTCAATCCAAATGTTTCAGGAACTAAGGCCGTTGAGACGATGTCAGTGACCATTAGTGTGGAATATCGAGGACACTGCGATGGTAAACCAGACACCTTTCAGTCACAGTTCAAACAGGCCATAATAAAACTCCTCCAGTCTCAGTCGGTCTGTGATTCCGGGGAGGGACCGCCGAAGTCTGAATGCAAGGATGTGGAGGTAGCCATGACCTGTCCGATGTCAAATACTATCGACAGAAGGCGTCGAGATGTAGAAAACATCAGGGTTGACATCCACATAACACTGAATACAAGGTAATTAATAATAGTATTATTGTAATAATTGTGTGAGTGAGTGAGTTGGGTTTAACGCCGCTTTTAACAGCACTCCAGCACTCCAGCTATATCATGAAGTGTCAGCTTATTTATATATGCATTTATATAGTGTTAAGATCCAGTTACATACAGCTGCTCAAAAGCGCTTTAAAGTCTGAACACAAGATGTGTCTTCAATTTGAAAGTACATATAGTTCTATGGCTGATCTTACACCAAGTGGGACACCTAAGATGGGGGGGGGGGGGGGGGGGGGGGGGGGGGGTGCACGGGTGGCCCAGTCGTCTAAGGCGCCGCGATTCACTGTGCAGAGTTGCGTCCCTTGGGCACGCCAGAAACCTATGATTGTAGGTTCGAATCCCGGTTCGCCCCCGATTATGTTTCTAGCTTTGTCAGCACCATACCCGTGCTCGTGGTCGTGGGTTTCGCCGAAGTGGTAAACGTCTGAGACCTGCATCACTTCGGGCTTTCCTCCGACATTAAGCTGACACGCCGCTATATAGCTGGAATATTGTTAAAAGCGGCGTTAAACCCAACTCACTCACTCACTCACTCACTTAAAGGATGGTCATGCAGCTAGGAATGAACGATCGCCAAATGTCTTCCATAGGCAAATGAGTGAGTGAGTGAGTTTGATTTAACGCCGCGTCTAGCAATATTCCAGCAATATCACGGCGGGGGATACCAGAAATGGGCTTCACACATTGTACCAATGTCGGGAATCGAACCCGGGTCTTCGGCGTTGACGAGCGAACGCTTTAACCACTAGGCTACCCGACCGCCCCCATAGGCAAGAGAGTTAACTGACTTTAAAAGTCAAGTTTCCACCCTTGCCGAACTAGGCTGGTATTATGGAGTTATATTTTAGCTGCACTAACGAGTCTATGCATAGTCCTATCAAAATCGTGCACTGAATTCGAAATCCGGTTCGTAAACTCTCGTGCAGATTACGGTCGATTGCAGGATTTACAAAACATCTGAACCGCCAACTCGGCGTCAGCAGACATTTTCCAACTCTTTTCTTGTTTTTTATCAAGGTGCGCACGTGATTTGGTGCACTTTGCGCTGTAAGACCCGTTTTATCACAAAATAGATCTTGATTATTGATCAGATCGTCTTGACTGGGCGCCGCCATTTTTTATAAACAAATGCAAGTGACACAAGAGGCGGAATCTGATTGGTCAATGGGAGAGGCATAGAAGAGACACAACGAGTAATAACCACTGGTGGCGCTACGATCGAGCCCAGAAATTCCAGCCTAGTTCGGCAAGGGGGGAAACTGGACTTTTATAGTCAGTTAACTCCTTTGCCTCGGGAAGATGTCTTCTGGTACTTCTATACAAGATCGGACCGATTTGCTGGAGCTTCGTTGTTGAAAGCCTTGAATATTAAAACAAGTATTTTATATTGGATCCTTTGACGGACTGGAAACCAGTGCAATTCATGTGTTCGTACTTTCTTAATGTGGGAGAGTAACCCGGGGTGATGGCGGTCTTTGACGTTTACCACTTTGGTGAAACCCACGAGCATGGGTATCGTGCTGACGATTTAGAGTTTCATTACTGTCCCTGACGACGATTTCTGTGGAAATATGACTATATTATTACTGTCTTCAGTCATTTTTCAATTGTTTCTGTTGTTGCTCTTAATCCACGAATAATTAGTCTATTGTGACGCTTTTAAGGCATTTGGATAGAAAGTTTGAGTCAATCTGACGGGAAAATAATTATAAAATGACTTAAATATTTTGGCATTTTGTCGATTGCCTAAGTGAAAATTTCAGTTATTTCACACATTGACTGATTTTGAACACTGAATGTAACATACATAATCAATATATAGATTATCCAAGGAATAAACTAGGAAACGTTTCGGAAACAAGGATATCGCTTAAAAAGAAAATGGCCCGGAGGGTTATAACTAAACTCTCAAAGCTCTTGTTACTTTGAATAGCCTGTGTATATGTGCCTGCTGCAATGGAAAAAAAACCCCACAAAACAAAAAACAACAACTTAGAAAAACAAACAAAGTTAACCGCTTCAGGGCATGTGTCAAGTTAGTCTGTCTTACAGACCCTGATACAAATATATATCAAATACAGCCCATGCAAGTCTATAATGTTTGGCAAGTCTAGATTACTGCAGTATCTGAAAATTAAGAGAGTCACTGGGCTCCCTTTTATTATATTAAGATAATTAATTTATTTAGATAACTGAACAACTGTTTTTTCTGTACGATATGTTCATTTCAGAGACTAGATGTTAGTCTAGTGTATAGTCACCATGAACAGTAATCGGTAGAGTAGCCTAGTTGTTCGTTCGTCAATCCGAAGGCAGGGCGACCATGCTTGACGTAAGAGGCGACTAACGGGATCGACTTGTCAGGCTCGCTGACATGGATGATGCATGTCATCGTATCGAAACTACGTAGATCGATGCTCATAATGTCAATCACAGGATTGTTTGGTCCAGACTCGATTATTTACAAACCGCCGTCATATAGCTGGATATTGCTGAGTGCGGCGTTAAGCAACAAACAAACAAACAATCCGAAGACGGGGATAGATTACCCACTTGAGTGTGTTATATGAAGCCCGAATGGATCTGATGCAATTACAATGTTTGAATGAGCTACAAGCTTCTTACTGACCTCATCACAACATGCAGTTCCAGTTCTGTGGAGGAGACAAAACAAAGGTTGGTGCTGCTGACGTCGTCTCTCGTGGGCGTCTTCAACTCCACCGACTCCACTGTGACAGTTGCCGAGTCAGTCTTTACGACAGGGGGCGCTGTGACGGTGACGCCACCTACCGGCAACTGTGGACTTGGCTTCATCTTTGACAACAATGTCTGTGGTAGGTAATTAACGGGCCGTTGTGGAAAAGTAAAATTTATTGTTACTGTAAGAAATTCTTTTTATGCAATTTTATCGCAAAATATTTTTTCTTCTTCTACTATTTGGAGAATAACGCATAAGTTTGAATTGAGGTAAGGAATTATTATCAGTACAGACGAAGGAGACACCATTGTTGACGAAATGTAAACGTCACTGTTGGTGTGACATCATGGCAGTTTTGATGATGTTCCATCCTACCATCACACTCATGTGTAGATCATACAGATTTTACGAAACTTAAAAAAAAAACTTTCTACCGAATTTATGTCACTTTTGTCACAATAGAGTGAGTGAGTATGGTTTTACGCCTCTTTTAGCAATATTCCAGCAATGTCACGACGGGAGACACCAGAAATGGGCTTCACACATTGTACCCATGTCGGGAACCGAACCCAGGTCTTCGGCGTGACGAGCGAACGCTTTAACCACTAGGCTACCCGACCGCCCCCTTGTGTCACAAGGACTCTGGCACTTGTCTCGTGGGGCGGTCGGGTAGCCTAGTGGTTAAAGCGGTCGCTCGTCACGCCGAAGACCTGGGTTCGAATCCCGACATGGGTACAGTGTATGAAGCCCATTTCTGGTGTCCCCCGCCGTGATATTGCTGAAATATTGCTAAAAGCGGCGTAAAACCAAACTCATTCACTCACTCACTTGTCTCGTCAATTCAGTATGACATAATCACCAATCTCATTCAAATCCTATCTTTAACTCCGATACGATTATTTTGAAAAAGAATATAATTGGGGAATTCCGAATGCAAAAACATGTAAAGTGGCGATATTATAATGTCATGTGATTTATACACCCTGTCGTTTCTAAGCACCGTTGCTTCGATTGCCATATAACGGTCTTCAAGAACAGACCGCATCCCTTGTAGAGTTATCTCCCCTAACCAACACGACTTTGTTGCTTGGTTACAAAACATGTTCTTCAAAGTGCCCGCTCCATGTTTCAGTGGAAGGCGTAGCGTCGTCAACACCACCAACCACTCTGGATGTCCCTCTCAACGTGTCAGCGTCGTCCAACTCGGCAGTGTTGGCGTGGAAGAGCTTGAGGACGTCGAAGACGCCGTACGTGACTGGGCTGCAGATAGAATACAGGGAGGAGGAGGTGGAAGACATGATACTCTGGAACCAAACTGACCCACTTGACCCCAGCGTGACGAGCCACGAGCTGACCAGGCTCCAAGCGGCCCGCGGCTACAGGGCCAGGCTGGTCATCCTAACCAACATCGTGGACAACAACCGTGTTCGACTCACTCCAATCAGATTTGAAACAAAGCCATTTAAGAGTACGTAAACGCTTATATCTAGACATCATAACACACATACATGTATATAACAACTACCACTGCTACCACTACTACTGCTACTACTACTCATTATACTACAACTACTACTACTTCTACTACTACTACTGCTACTTATACTACAACTACTTCTACTTCTACTTCTACTACTACTATTACTCTACAACTACCACAACTACTATTACTACTACTATTTCTACTATTACTATGACTACTACCACTACTACAACAACTACTACTACAACTACTCTACTACTACCACTTCCACGACTACTATCAACACTACTACTACCACCACCACTACCACCACTACTATTACCACTGCTACTACCACCACCACTACACTACACTGCTGATACTACTATTACTACTACCACTACCACCACCACTACCACGACTACTATTACCACTTATACTACTACTACTACAGCTACTACTACTACTACTACCACCACTACTACACTAAACTGCTGATACTACTACTACTACTACCACCACCACCACTACCACGACTACTATTACCACCACTACTACTACCACTACCACGACTACTATTACTTCTACAAGTGCCGCCTCCATGGTCTAGTGGTAGAGCGTCCGCCCGGAGAGCAGAAGGTCCGGGGTTCGATCCCCGGGCGCGTCATACCAAAAGACGTTAAAAGATGGTACTTGTTGTTACCCT